GGGGCGGCACCCCGACCCCCAAATCTTCTTAAAGCCCCCGAGTCCCCCACAGCCAGCGCCGCGGCCGCGTGTCCCGGAGCTGTGGTGTCACTCTGATGGGTGTCACCGGTCCCCGCGTCCCCGTTGCGATTCGGCCGCGGCGCCGCGGGCGGCTGTCAGCTCCCATCGCGTCGCAATGCCGGCTGTGACGAGCGGGCGCTCAGCCCCGCAGCCCCCGGTCCTCGGCTGCGGAACGCGGGGTGACACGCGGCGGAGCGCGGCCACCAAAGCCCCGGGCACAGAGCGGGGTGTGCCACAGGGCTTCGTCCCCGCCGTCACCGTCAGTGCCATGTGCGTGGGGGTGGCATTGCTGGGGACGGTGCGCTCAGCCCCGCTGTCACCAGCAGCGACAGCCCGTGTGGGTCACAGCGCGGTGCGTGCGTGGGGCTGGGAGGAGTTGGGGTGATGGGGACGTGCTGGGGACGTGGAGAGATGGTGGCCACGGAGGGGCAGTGCAGCACTGCCGCCCCATGGGCTGCACTGGGGTGCAGATGTGGTCCTGCTCCCCGTCCCCAGCGGTCCCAGCTGGGGCAGTGGGGACACTTTCGGGACAGAGTCCATTGGGGTGTCCTATAGGGTGGGAGCTGTGGGGCACTTTGGGGGTATAGGGTTGACCCTGAGCTTGTGGCTGACATTTGTCCCCTTGGTGTGTGGCTGCACGTCCCCCGTGTGCCACGTGTGTCCCCTTGCTGTCCAACCGTGTGTCTCCGTGTGACACGTGTGTCCCCATGGGGTGTGACCGAAAGTCCCCAGATGTCACAGGGATCCCCTCCGCGGGCCAGCAGGGACACAGGTGACAAACCCAGGGAGCAGTGCCTCTGGCTGAGCCACCCCTGGCCCCGCCGGGGACACAGAGGGGACACGGGGTGGCGGTGCTTCTGACCCCTCGTGCCCCGTGGGTGTCCCCGGGGCTGCACCCCATGGCCGCACCGGCTGGGGGCGTGGCCAGATTGGGGGCGTGGCTCTGCGCTCCCCGGGCGGCGCTGGAGGCGAATCACTGCGCGGAGGGGGCGTGGTCTGTGCCAAGTGGGCGTGACTCCCGACCGAGAGGGCGTGGCCAAGGAGTGCTCGGGCGTGTCTGCACAGGCAGTGGGCGTGGTCACAGGAGGCGTGGGCGTGTCCTGGCGCGGGGGGGCGTGGCCGGGAGCGGAGCGCACCGGAGCTCAGCGGAGCGGATCGGAGCGGAGCGGCACCGCCGATCCCCGAACCCCACCGCCCTGCCCGCCCCCAAACCGGCACCATTCCGGCCCAGCGAGCAGCCCCGGCCGGGCGTCGGCTCAGCCTCGGCCGTAAAACTTTGCTGGCGGCCGCTGCGGGCGTGGTGATGGTGCTGGTGCTGGTGGTGCTGATCCCGGTGCTGGTGAGCTCGGCGGGCACCGACGGCCGCTACGAGATGCTGGGCACCTGCCGCATGCTCTGCGAGCCCTACGGGGGCACCGCGCCGGGGGGCGGCCCGATCCCACCGCCCTCCACGCTGGTGCAGGGGCCGCAGGGCAAAGCGGGCAAACCGGGCAAACCGGGACCGCCGGGACCCCCCGGCGAACCGGGCCCGCCGGGAGCTGCGGGCCCGCCGGGGGTGAGGGGCGAAGCGGGCAAACCGGGGCCGCCCGGGCTGCCGGGTTTGGGGGGCACGGGGGCGGTGAGCACGGCCACCTACAGCACGGTGCCGCGCGTCGCCTTCTACGCCGGCCTGAAGAACCCGCACGAGGGCTACGAGATCCTCAAGTTCGATGATGTGGTCACCAACCTGGGCAACAGCTACGATGCCGCCTCGGGGAAGTTCACCTGTGTCATCCCCGGCACTTATTTCTTCACCTACCACGTCCTGATGCGCGGCGGAGACGGCACCAGCATGTGGGCTGACCTCTGCAAGAACGGGCAGGTACGGGATGGAGGGGTCCGGGGAGGTCCTGGGGGGGTCCTGTCCTTCTCCTGCCCATGGGACGCTCATCTTGTGCAGCCCCGGGATGCTCTGCCCTTCTCTTGCCCGTGGGATGTCTGCCCCCACGATGCTCCATCCTTCCCTCAGTGGCAGTGTTGTGCTCCAGGTCCCTCTCCGAGGTGCCCTGTTTTTCTCCTGCCCATGAAGTGTGCACCTCAGGATGCTCCATCCGTCTTCCAGCCGTGGGATGTGCACCCCCAGGGTGCTCCGTCCTCCCAGTGCCAATGATGTGCTTCAGGTACCCTCTGTGCCCTGAGATCCCCATCCTCCTCCTGCCCATGGGATGTGCACCCCCAGGGTGCTCCGTCCCTATTCCAGCCATGAGATGTGCACCCCCAGGCTGCTCTGTCCTTTTTCCAGCCATGGGATGCACACCCCACGTTGCTCTGTCCCTCCCTGCCCTTGGGATGCACACTCCTGAGATGCTCCATCCTTCTCCCAGTGCCAATGATGTGCCCCAGGTGCACCCCGCGGTCTCCTATCTCCTCCTGACTGTGGGATGTGCACCCCGGGATGCTCCATCCTTCTCCTGGTAGCAATGATGTGTCCCCATGGGTCCCCTTTCGGTCCCTCTCCTGCCCCAGCGATGTGCCCTGCTGTGCCGTGGGCTGTCTGTGTGCTCCCTGCCATGTCCCCATGGTGCGTGCCAGCAGCCGTGCCCTGGGGACAGCAACGCAGGGACAACGTTTGCGGTGGTTTTGGGGACACTGCGGGGCTGTGCAGTGCTGAACCCACATTGAGGGCAGTGTGAGCCCAGCCCGGAACTGGGTCCACTGCTTCTCAGCCCTGTTTGGGGACAGATGTCCCCATCCCCAGCTGCTGTGCACCCATGGGACATCTCCTCCACCCGGTGACAGCCCCTGGGTGACACACAGTGGGGCCGCTGCCCCAGTGCTCAAGCTGCCCCCATCCTCACCACCCGCAGCCCCCACATCTCCACCATCCCCATGGCTGAGGCTACCAGGTGATGTCGCATCCTCACGACACAAACCCTTTGCTGGAGCTGTGGCTGTCGCACTGCAAATGTCACACTGCACTGAGAGGCTCTGAGCTCAGTGGGGTGACATCTCCCCACGGCCTCGGCCACAGCTCTGCCCCAGCAGTTGGGTTTGGCCTTTGGCTGTTGGGTTCTCCCTCCCTTCACTCACTGCCCCAGATCCGAGGCATCAGAGATGCTCAGTGCTTGTCCCCGTGGTGCTGCCTCTGAGCGTCACTGCGCAGAACCATTGCACCGAGCATCGCCCCGGCACCTGGATGGGATTTTTCCTTCTTCAAGAGCCCCGTGGGATTTAGAGGGATTCAGGAGCCCAGAACCCAGCTGGGAATGGGGTCGCTGCCCCGTCCCTTTGCCATCCACATCCCCCCATGATGTGAGCCACAGCTTTGCCCAGCAGTTGGGTTTGGCGTTCAGCTGTTGGTTTCTGCCTCCCTTGGCTCACAGCCCCACATTCAGGACACTCAGGCTGCTCTGTGCTTATCCCCACGGCAACAACTCCGAGACCCCCACGCGGTGCCCATTGCGCCGAGCGTCTCCCCAGCACTAGGATGGTTTTTTTCCTTCCCAAATAACCCCACGCAGTAATTTAGAATCCCAAAACCCAGCTGGGAACGGGGTCGCCGCCCATCCCTTTGCCATCCCCACGCCGCGGGCTCGTGCCGGCGCTAACAGCTGCGTTTCCCGAAGCTACAAAGCTCCTGTCAAGAGTAAATAAACCCATTCGGGCGTGCGCCTGCAATACAGCTTAATCATCGTCACGGCCGTCCTCGTCGGGCGCCGGCTTCGCAGCCATCCCCACGCGCCGGGTGTTAATTGCCAGCACGATATCACAGCTCTAATTGGGGTTTGTGTCGCAGAAATACAGCCCAGAGTGAAGCTGGGGTGGTGGGGTCGCACCGCAGCGGCGATGCCCCAGTGTTTCCCTATGGAGAAGTGTCCATCGCAGCGCCGGCCGCGCCGCTCGAGTTAATGAGAGCCAGGGGAGCTGCTCCTGGTTATTAATTAGCATTAATTATGATTATTTGTATTAGCTTGTCCCTGTTTCGGTGAGCACGGGGTGACAAAATTGTGTTTGGGAGGAAGGTGGATGGATGTCCTCAGTGTTGTCCCTTGAGGGGATGTGGGGGACAGTGGGGGATGGTCCCCAAAGTGTGACCCCACAGAGGGATGTGCCCATGGGGCCACACCTGGGAGAGCCCAGGTGCACCCAAAGGTGATGTGTCGGACCCCAAAGACACGGGGTGCCCTCAAACACCGCTCCATGTCCCTCTGCACTGGGTGGGCACAGAGCTGCAGTGGTCACAGTGGCCAGGACACTGCTGGGGGCAGCTCACAGCCGTAGGGTCAGTGGGGTTGGTGACAGCACTCCCCAGGTGCCACGTCCCCATTTTGGGCACTTCCTCCCGCATCCCTTGGGTGCAGGCACAGCTCCCAGCCGTGGGGTTGCTTCTGTTGACGTCCCCATTTTGGGCTCTTCTCCTTTCCCACGGGCAGCGCCATGGGAAAACTGAAGCACGGAGCTGCTGCGCCCCATCTCTGCATCCCCTCCAGTCCTGGGGACACGGCTGCTGGGACAACGCGGTGGCTCTGCTGCCATGGAGCCATTTATCTTCCCTGGTTAGCCAAGGGCTGGCGGGCGCGCAGTGACGAGGCGGCTCCTTAACGAGGGAAGACGGATGGCAGTGGCTGCAGCGGGGACGGGCGGTGTGCTGGGACATCAGTAGGTTCCAGAGTAAACAGGGGCTGATGGGTGGGATCTGTCACGGCCGTGGGCTGCCTGCGGGTCTGGGGATGCTGCTGCCTCTGCCCCGATGGCTTTCGTGGTAGCAGCACCACAGGGGCGGCCATGGGGCTGTGGTTGTGTCCGTTCAGCTGCAGGGTTGGGGCTGCTCCCTGCGAGCCGACGGAGAGCCCATTCTTGTCAGTCCTAATTAGGAGCTGCTTCTCCCTGCTGTGCCGCTTTGCATTTCACTTGGGATTTTTTACCTGCCGCCTTGTCACTGTCACTGAGATCCCGCTGCAAGGCTCTGGCTCAGATTTGATTACCCCAATAATTCCCTATCAGCTGCAGCCGCAGTGCCACTTCCCTGGGTGGCCACGAGGCCGTTGGGTACGTGTGGGTTTTTACAGATGTAAGTATCCCTTCCCGCCCCACGCCTGAGCCATAACCCCATGTTCAAGCCTATGGGTCAGGGCAATGCTCAGCAGCACCACAGCGGCACCGCTGTCCCCACGCCAGTGCCATCTCTTCCATCCAGGTCCCATCACCCATGGAATGGGTCCAAAGAAGCCTGAGTGAAACGGGAAATGGGGCCCCAGGGGGTGGCTGGGTGCGGGGTCACAGCAGGGAAGTGGGGCCATGGATGCAGGTGGGCTAAAGCTGTGTCCCCTGTGCAGGTGCGGGCCAGCGCCATCGCGCAGGATGCGGACCAGAACTACGACTACGCCAGCAACAGCGTCATCCTACACCTGGATGCAGGTGATGAGGTCTTCATCAAGCTGGACGGGGGCAAAGCCCACGGCGGCAACAACAACAAATACAGCACCTTCTCGGGTTTCATCATCTATTCGGACTGAGCCTGGACCCATGGCATCGCCCCATGGCATCGCTCCACACCCACCCAGCCCCACGGCATCCCCATGTGCAGCCCTATGGCTGGCTGTGGGGCCCAGGATCCCCCTCCCCCATCACCCGCTCACCCCATTGCTGCTAATCGGGGCGGGGGGAGCAGAAGGGCAGTCCCCTGGCTGCGACCCGCTCAGTGCCCGTGCGATGTGGGTCAGTATGGGGTACCTCGTGCCGGGGTTGTGCTGGGGGAGCTGCCTGGCCCCGGGTGACTCCATGGTAAAGCAGAGCTGTGACCTCTCCCCGTGTGCTGTCTTTGTCCCTGTGTCGGGATGTCACCAGGGTTGGGGATGGCACCTTCTGGCCTCATTGTCCCCCCTCAGCCCGGCCAAGGACACGGGGCACCATCCCCAGGTGCTGCAGTCCAGGTGGGAGCTGCTGTCATTGTCCCCTCGCTGTCCCTGCAGGCTGACAGTGGGATGGGTCTCCTGGGGAGATCGCGGTGCCCGCTGTGGGGCTGGGCTGTGCAGGACGGGGTGGTGTGGGGAAGCTGCGACATGACGCGGCCCTGTGGCAGAATGTGGCCCCATGGTGGGACGTGGCCCCATGAGAGGAGCTGCCTGCATGGTAGCACACGGTCAGACATGTCCCTGTGATGGGATGTTGGCGCCATGTGAGAACATGAGACACATGACAGAACGTGGCCCCGTGTCAGGACGTGGCCCCCCGGCTGAGGTGGCCCCGTGGAAGGGCTCGGCCCTTCGGGCTTTAGAGGCTGCTCCGCCCCCAGCCCCGCCCCCAGCCCCGCGATACGGGACCACAAGTCCCGTGATGCCCCGCGCGGAGGCTGAATGTCACGTGACTCGGATGAGCCAACGGGAGGTAACGGAGCGAACGGCCAATCAGAAAGGCGGGAGGGGCTGCCGGGAGATTTGAACGCGGAGGGCCGGAAGTGGCGGGTGAGTGGGGAGGCGGGGGGCGGTGTGGGGCTGAGGGGAAACAGCCGGGATCCGAGCGGGGGTTTGGGGCCTGCTGGGGGCCGCGGGCCTCGGGTCGCAAATGAAGGCTGTTAGGCCGCGGGGTCGGCACGGCCCGGAGCGGTGCTGTGGGATCTGAGGGGCTGCGGGGTGTCGGGGTGTCGGCACAGACAGCAGGGAGAGAACGTAGGGCCCGTAGCGCGGGTGCTGTAGATCCCGTGGGGTCAACGCCGCGCCCTCTAGGCTCTAAGGGGGGCCGTAGGGGCGGGCGAGGCCTTACAGGGGGCGGCACGGGCGGAGGGGTGGGCGGCGTGGAGCTGTAGGGACAGCGGGTGTCGGCGCTGCGGAGTGCGGGTCGGCGGCCCCCCTTCAGGCTGCGCCCCGAGGCTCACCTGCGCCCCTCACCCCTCTGTGCGCGGATCCCAGGCCGCGTCCCGCCGAGCCCGCCGTCCCCATGGCGATGGGCGCCCCGCCCGAGGACGGCGCCGTGGCCGTAATGGTGCGGGTGCGGCCGGCCGTCCCCAGCGAACGGGATGGGGCCGCGCGGCCCGTGCTGCACGTCGTGGATCAGCACATCCTCGTCTTCGACCCCGAGGAGCCCGGCGGACCCCCCGGCACCGCGCTGCCCGCCCGCGGCCCCAAACACCGCGGCAAAGACCTCAAGTTCGTCTTCGACCGTGTTTTCGGGGAGGGGGCCACGCAGGAGGAGGTGTTCCTGCACACGACGAGGGAGGTGTTGGATGGAGTCCTCAATGGCTACAATTGCTCCGGTACGGCCCGAGGGGGGCTGTCCCACACACCCTCAGCAGAGCCAGGATGTGGCCTTTGTGCTGCAAGGGACGTCCCCAGGGTGGGAAGGGGTGTCTGTGTCTGCTGCCATCTCAGTCCTTGATTTGTGGCAGCATGGTGGAAAACCCGAAGAAGATGAGAGAGGGAATGGGTCATAAAACAGCAGCACAGGAGCAGGCGGTGCTAAACTGCCATCAGCGTTGAGCTGGGGGTTGCAGGTGTGGTCGAGGTGGGGTGTCCCTGGCGCAGGGGAGACTGAGAAAATACTGAGAGCTGCTGAGCAGGAGGCCGGGTGAGGTGGACGTGTGCTGTGATCTCTGGGAACTGCTGTGTTCCCTGTGCATCTCCCAGCCCTGCATTGCACACAGACCAGGTCTGAACGCTCCTCACCCTGCGCTGCAGATCCTCGTGCTGCTTGCAGGCTGTCAGCAGCGTGGCGTAATGAGCTGCACGGTGCTGAGCTGGGCGCTGGGGCTGCACGATGCTATTCCTGGCTCTGTCACCGTGCCCACCTGGCAGCATCTCCTGTCTCTGCCTGTGTGAAATAACTCCCAGATCCTCAAATGAGATATTCCCAAAGCCTTGCTAATGGGGAGAAAGGCTAAGGTTCTCTAGATTAGCGTCCTGTTCCAATGCTAATGCTTCAGAGAGGGGGCTGAAGGGTTGGGGAATGTAGATGAATTGCAAGGTCTGGAGAAAGAACCTCCTTCACTGAGAGATGGAGACCTGGGGGTGCTCAGCTTGTAGGGTGGCCTTGAAGCGTCTGAATGGGTGACGGCGTGGGGACTCGTCCTGTCTTTATCCGCTAAATTAGAGATGCTGACAGCTGAAACGAGAGAGAAATTGCACTGGGGGAATTGTGCAGACAGTGCTGAGGGTAATTAACTATTGAACCGCTCTGCGACGGCTGCGAGTGACCTGCTCTGCTGCAGCGTCTGCTGCAGGGCCGTCACGCTGCTGACAGTTTCAAACACCCCTCTCCCTCCTCGCAGTGTTTGCCTACGGTGCGACGGGAGCAGGGAAAACCTACACCATGCTGGGCTCAGAGCAGAGCCCGGGCATTATGTACCTCACCATGGCGGAGCTGTACAGGAGGATTGAGGCCAGGAGGGGCGAGAAGAGCTGCGAGGTGCTCGTCTCCTACCAGGAGGTATGTGTGTTCCCCATGTGTTTTGGGGCTGCTGCTGACCCCGTAGCGCTGCAGTATGCTGGGGATGCCTGCTGTCCCAGCTGGATTCGGGCTCACCAAACTGGTGGGGAACTGGTGCTGCTGGTTCCTCCCATGCAGAGAATGGGAAGTTTTTCTGCCTCACCGAGCCGCCGCGGCGCCTGCAGTCTGCATAGCAATCTGAAAGGGCTGTGCAGGAGGAGCAGCAGCGCAGTGACTTGCAAGTAAAGCCCTCGAGAGCTGTCCTCTGCATTTAGAGCACTGTCAGCCGCTCTGTGTCACGCCTGGGCAGCGCCTTGCAGGGATTGGGGTGGGAAGGACTCATCGGATCAGATTGTGACCCTCGTGCGCAGAGCTGCTCGATGCTGGGGTAACGGGCTGCCTGTTCCCTGCTCCAGGTGTACAACGAGCAGATCCACGACCTGCTGGAACCCAAGGGCCCTTTGGCCATCCGGGAGGATCCAGAGAAAGGAGTCGTGGTCCAGGGGCTCTCCTTCCACCAGGTGGGTGTAAGGGCTGTGCGCAGGCTCAGTGCAGTGCTGTCCTAGCAGCAAATGTGACCCTGAGCTGAAGGGAACGTTGCAGGACAGCGGGGTGCCTTACATCCCAGTTGTCATTTCTTAACGTTGGGTTGTTGTGGTGGCTACGCGGGGCACCCAGCCTGCTGATATCCACCCCTCTGCTTGATTCCAGCCCAAATCAGCAGAGCAGCTCCTGGAGATGTTGGCCAATGGCAACAAAAACCGGACCCAGCACCCCACGGACGCCAACGCCACCTCCTCCCGCTCTCACGCGGTCTTCCAGGTGAGGGCTGAACCATTAAACCACAGCATGGTTGGCCTGAAAAGAGCCTTGAAGATCTTAGAACTGCGGAATCACAACAAGTTGGGTTGGAAGGGACCCCCAAGGCCCTCAGCCGCACTGCTGCTGTGGTCTGGGTGCCCCACACCAGCTTGGGCTGCCCAGGGCTCCACCTGTGGCTTTGGGATCTCCAGGGCTTATCTGTCCCATTGTCCCCCTCAGCACAGAGCCGGGATCCCTGCTCTCTTTGTCCTCACTGTGTCGATGCTCTCCCCCACAAACCAGCCACTCGATTTCAATTCCAGCCAGGCCCTTCCCTGAATTAGCAGGGCTGTCACGGCTGCGTGGGGAGACTGAGGGCTCTGCCTGCAATTTCTGTGTGAACCTGGTGGCTGTGAGCAGGGGGAGTCCAGGTGTCTGGATGCCTTCCCAGCCGGGTGCATTGCTGGGCGCTGGACTCCTGCCTGCTGCACAGCCGTTAGCAGTGCTGGAATTGTGCCCTCCCTGCTGCTGGTGAGCCAGGCGTGGGCTGCTGAGGGTGTAGGACTGGGATACGACACGGGAATTGGGCTCAGCTCTGAGAACGCAGCCTGGTGCTCCTGGTGCTCCCAGGCACTGCGAGCCGATGTCTGGGCGATTCCCCCAGCGCTGGGTTTGTCCATCCTCGTTGGGTTGTGGCCTCACCAGTCTCTGTGCTCGCAGATCTATGTGAAGCAGCAGGACCGTGTTGTCGGCCTTGCTCAGGACCTGCGGGTTGCCAAGATGAGCCTGATTGACCTGGCAGGCTCTGAGCGAGCCTCTGTCACCAACACCAAAGGAGAGCGTCTCCGGGAGGGTGCAAACATCAACCGCTCGCTGCTGGCCCTCATCAACGTCATCAATGCGTTGGCTGATGCAAAGGTAGTGCTGTCCTGTCGTGCCCTGCCGAGTGCCAGGGCCCAAAAGCTGAGCAGCCCCTGGCTCTCTCGGTGCAGAGCAAGAAAACCCACATCCCGTATCGGGACAGCAAGCTGACGCGCCTGCTGAAGGACTCCATTGGTGGCAACTGCCGCACCATCATGATTGCTGCTGTCAGCCCCTCGTCCCTGGCCTACGAGGACACCTACAACACTCTCAAGTACGCCAACAGGGCCAAGGAGATCAAGCTGTCGGTGAGGAGCTCATCTTCTGCTGAGGGTTTGGGAGCTGGTGGGAAGGAGTTGAGTTTCACAGCCTGCCCCGGTGTGCGGGGAGGGTCAGTGGGTGCCTCTGTGCTCCAGGTTGGGTGGTCTGTTGGGTTGTGGCATCCAGCCCCTCTGGCCAATTGATGCTGAGGACACTGAATGCACAGTCTGTGCCGAAGCTCCTCATCCCAGCAGGACTGGTGGCAGGGACAGCAGGTCCCCGTGCGTTGCTCGTGCCATCTGCAGCCTCTGCTCCAGCACTGGGAGGGATCTGAGCTCAGCCCCGTTGCTCTTTTGACCTCTTGCCCATCCCTGTCTCTGCAGCTGAAGAGCAACGTGCTCAGCCTCGACTGCCACATCAGTAAATATGCCACAATCTGCGAGCAGCTGAAA